TGATTTGAGTCTTTCGTATTTCATCGCAAACAGGTCTTCTTCTTCCTGAGTCTGTAAAATTTTGTTTGCTAGTATAGGTGTTCTGTGCCAGAAATTGCTTTTCGATTTTTCGTAATGATAATTTTTATGCGCTAAGTTATTTTTCGTTGATCTTCTTGTTGGGGCTGTAGATTCTTTGAACTGAACAAATTGTCTCCAATGGAAGTTGTATTGGTCATTTATTATTTTATGAAGCAAGAGAATGTCGTGCATTTCGTGGTAGAGAGACAGTGGAAGCAGGTTTAATCTAATCAGTCTGTCTTTATAGTTGATGTTGTTACATGACGGTATCCAACGTGTAGCTTTTCTTTGGACATCTTCAATAATTCTTAATTCACACTTATTTGCTTTCCCTATGGGTGAGCCATATGACACAATTGGGGTTACATATCCACAGTAGGAGTTCAGTTTCATTTTTAAGCTCGCTGATTTTGAAATATTTCTTTTAATTAAAAATAAGCAGCCTATTGCTTTTTGGGCTCTTATTTTTGCGTGTGCTGACCAGTTTACGTTGTTGGTTATTTGTATACCAAGGTCTTTTTCTGAACAAGTTTTTTCGAGTATATGGTCACCGAGATACATGTTTAGGTCAAGTTGGGGGTCTTTGAATATTATATTGTGACATTTTTTCAGATTAAGACTCATGGAATTATCTTTGCACCATATGTTGATCGTGATTAGGTCATGTTGGAGCAGGGAAGGGTTCGTTGCAACAATTTTATAATCGTCTGCGTAACCATAGCACGAGTTGGTGAGTGATGACGGTAAATAGTTGATGAATGTAATGAGTTAAGTTGATGTAGTGACCATCGGTATGGGCTATACACAGGGGCACAATATATACAGCAGACAAGTATTGGTACAGATATCTTGAGTTGAACCATTACGCAGTCTTGCATGCCTGTATCAATGCGGTTATGTGGTATGTTGGCGTTGATGCCAATTAGAACTCCTCCATGTTTTGATAGACCGGCTTTTGAAGTTCTTTCAGATCGATAGAGTTCGAATTGAGGCAAGAATGTGGAGTTGTCTGTTACGTCGATGGTTAACCATGTTTCGGTTAGGCAAAGTAGTTGGTATTGACAGCTTGTGTTTATCGCATTTGCGAAGTTTGATCCAGGGATATCGATTCGAATCCGAGTATTCGACCCGAATACCGAGTATTCGGCACTTCGAAGCCGAATCCGAATATTAAAATTTTGAAATCCGAATATCGAATCCGAATATTTTTTTTTTGCCGAATACCGAATAATCCAGGGTCCACTGCTAAAAAACCCGAATATTCCGAATATTGGTTTACTGTTTTGTTTCGCAATATTTTTCTGTTTTTTTTAAGATGGCTAATGTAGAAGAGTCTGATGTCGCTGCCGAGTGCGAGTATAGAAAAGAAAAAGGAGTGGCAAAATGGCATGAAAAGTTTCTTGTGGAATATCGAGGTGGTAGAAAAACGGAAGGAAGAAAGTGCATTAAATGCAATGTTTTGATTAAGAGTATTGGGGCGTCAACGACTTCGATGACTAAACACACGCAAGTGTGTGATAGCAAAACGGTCCAAACTGTCATTGCATCGGACCAAACTGTAATTCCTTTCAAGCGGGCTAGAGTTCAAGACGGCTTGAATGAAGTTGCTAAACTTGTATATGAAGACAATATACCAGTGTACAAAGTTGTGCGTTCTCCAACGTTACAATCATTTTTTAAGCAGCTTCACTTTAGTAAAGTCACCTACTGTTCAGTCAACAATGCGCTGGAGGTAAATTACCAAACAGCAGTACAGAAAATTAAAGATTTGATAGTAACACGTGATAAGCGACAAATGCTCTCCTTGAGTTTTGACAAATGGACATCAGCGGACAACAAAAAGTTCATTGGAGTATATTTGTATGTTGGCGGAGAAAGCGTTTGCTTGGGTTTGATTTATTATACTGGTTTCTGTGGGGCCGAAGAAATACTCATCAATCTGAAAAAAACGCTAAGTGAAAATGATAACACTTTTGAAACTATGTTAAGCGGAACTGTTCACCGATTGAGAGAGTTGTGAAGGAAAATTAAGAAATCCCCCACTTTACGAGATAAGCTAGCAAATGTTCAATTGGCTCTTGGGCAAACTATTTTGTCCATAGTGATTGATAATAAGACCCGCTGGAACTCGCTCTATGACTGCATGACAAGGTTTCTTGAGTTGAAACCTATTCTTATTTCTATTTTGCCATCTGAGGATTTAAATGATTTTGACTGGGATAAAGTTGCGTCGATTTGTCGAACACTGAAACCTTTGAAGGAGTGTACATTGGCTCTGCAAAGCAACAAGTCTGCTGCTGCGTTAGCTGTGAAAGTTATAAAATTTCTTAATCATTTGGCACATATGGAACCAGCTCCTAATTCTCCAATTCGCACTGTTTTGGGTAAGTGGATTGATAACAATCCTGTTATCACTGCCCTGATTAATAAATCGGGGAGTTTTTTTGAAAGTATTCGAAAGTTCGCTGTTGAACCCGAAAGTGCCACACAGGTGGCGTCTAATGATCATCAATATGTGGCTGTGGAAGAAGGTTTGTCTTTTGCAGAGTTCAATAACAATTGCCAATTAGATGAGTTTGACATTTTCGCTTTTCTGGAAAATTTTCGTCCGTCCAGTGTTGATCCAGAGCGCCTATTTTCTTTATGCCGACTCAGTCGCAACTACTTACAAAATCGATTATCACCTGAGAATCATTCACGAAATGTTTTCTTAAATAAGAATAAAAGGTTTTTGAAATAAAACTGTTCATTAGCAAACTTGTTTTAAAATTACGGTCTCTTTTTTAAATAGTGTCACTCGATTTAGCTCGAAAAACTGGGTTGTCACTGATTTTTAACAGTTTTTAGCAATCTCAGTCGATTTAGCTCGAAAAACTGGGTTGTGAGTTGTGACTGATTTTTAACATTTACTCACTCCCGCGATTTTTACATTATTACGCAAGTGCCAGCCAATTCTACTTGAAAAATGCTATGTTCAATACTTTTTATAGAATTTGTTGTATCAAACTTTTATGCTAAGTTTTTTGGGAAAATAACCAAATATCCGAATAGTTGTTCGAGTAGTAACATTTGGCCGAAGCCGAATCCGAATAGTAAGGGCACTATTCGGCCGAAGTCGAATATCGAATAGTTGGGCCGCGGCGAATAACGAATATCAAAAAATCCGAGTATTCGACATCCCTGGTTTGATCTTCGATTGTAGTCGAGTATGCTTCCGACGTTGTAGATGAGTAGGCTGGGAAAGAGTTCTAGTCAATTGGAGATTGAGTTCTCCGTTTTTTCAGTTGCAACTGCTGTCCATCTGTTTTCTATTTTCTGGTAGAGTTTTCCATCGCGGATGCGCAGGTTTTGTTTATCGATGTTTTCGTTTATGAGCTCCCGCCGTTTTTGCAGTGCTTGATTTTCAAGTTTTGCTTCATCCACTGATAGCTCGCGACTGACAAACACAGGTTTGTCATATGTTTTTAGGCGGCAAGCGGATGATAGTATTAGTCGTTTCTGCCAAATTGGGACTTTTACCAGTATGGTTCGGTCCTTGCCTTCCTTTCGTTGACCCATCCGGAACAGATCAACTATCTCTGGCACAATTTGCATGTGCTCCAAGATTTCCTTTACTTGTTGGAGGTCATTTTCTTGTCTTTTTCTTTTATCTTTGTCGTTTAGTTCAGGGATGCCGCGGATGCGGATTCCGTTTTGATCTTCTTGTTTCGGCGTTGCGTTTATCGGTACCTTGGTTTTTGCTTCTGATTTGATCTCATTTGGCTTCATTGTGGTTTGGGAGAACAGCGTTTTAATCTCCTGTACGTTCTTTCTGAGTTCGTCCATGTCCTCTTCAATCTTCTTGAATTGCTTCACTGACTGCTTTTCGGAGTCTCTCATATCCGTTGGAATCCACACATTTGCAGAGTAGAGCAATGTTTTTTCCCAGTGTCGTAATACCATTGATTGCTGTATCGCTTAGGCTGGTACAGCTTTTCGTCAGGTGCATTTTGCAATTACACACGATGCAACAGAATGTATCTTCATTCTTTTTGATTTTTTGTTGGCAAGTTTCGCATACGGAATCAGTGGTCATTTCACGATTTCGTGTCATATTTGTTTAAATATCCATATCTTGGTTAAATTTGGTTGTAATTACTAAATTTGAGCAGGGTTAATTCGCCGCTTCCGTTTGAAGAGAACGAAATCTATCAAGCGTTAATTGTCCCAATGTAGGCAAATTGTCCTTTTTCAAGTGTCAATTTGGACAAGTAATCCGTGGTAAAATATCTTTTTGTTATTTTGAGCGTTGGTTCTGAAGACTTTTCGGATGGTATAAAAAATTAAACACGCTAATCCTTTTTGACCTCCATGATCCACGCTGTTTATCAGACGTTTCAATCGCTTTTTTCAGATTAATTGTAGAGTTCTCTATTTTCACACTGTTCAAACTGGTTGAATGGTTCAATTTTGTCTTGATAATATTGTGGTTTCAATTTACTTTTAGCTTCGGTATTTTCTTAGTCATTAAGGTTTTTGTTTTTTCAATATCTACAAACTTTCGACGGTGGGAGCAATCTTGCTTCCCGATTTTCGAAGGCGCATGAATATCTCTGTATACACCAATCCTAATGCTCTATAATAATTTCATGTTGGAGGTTTTTAAGAGGCGTAAATGATTTGAATTTGTTATCACAAATGGAAGATTCACTGGTATGTAGATAATAATAATGAATAATATCTATGATCTATTGTTTATCGTTCTTTTCTCGGGATATTTTAGGAAAGTCAGGTCTTGAAGTTGCTAGTTAGTGCCCAAAATAACGAAATAGAAGTCGTGAGAAACCTACTGGATTCGAATCAATCTCTCGTTGATGCTAGAGATAAGGCGAGTTTTTGTATCTCTTCTATATTATACGCTGCTTGCTCCCTATCGTAATGTCAGTTAATAGTTAGATTTGTTTTTTTTTTTGTTTCAGGAAGGAACAACTGCCTTAATTGTTAGTTGTGGTCATGGACACGTTGACTTGGTTCGTCATCTTCTGCTGCGTGGAGCAAACCCCAATATTCGGAGACAAGTGAGTATAATGTTTAGAGACCAAAAATAGGCGAATCAGTAGATTTTAGTTGTAATTGAGTCAGTATAATTATGGGATCAACCGTACAATCTCCCCATCCCCCCACCTAAGTGACATACCGTAGAAGGTCCTACCCAGACGTAATGATTCTGTAAATTAACTCTGTATGAAATATGCATTGCATACAAACGCTCAAAATTTGACTGTATTAAGAAATTTTTTACCCAAATCAATTTTGATGTGCTACAAAACAATTAAATCAACGGCTAAACCGACGTAGAAGGGAAACCACCTTTTCCAGTTATAGCGTCTCATAGTGCTGGTGTCGGCATCTTCCCTCTGTATAGCACACTCAAGGTAAGGTCCCGACACCAGCACAGAGACGCTATCACTGGAAAAGCTGATTCCCCTTATACGTCGGTTTTGCCGCTAGAGACCCTGGGGGAGCTGCAGTGATACATCAAACGAGACGAAACCAACATGACCAGTCAGGAACGAAATTTCCCTAACTCTCTCTCTCTCTCTCGATCTTTCAAGCATAAACAATCTCTCTAATTCAATCAGAAGTTCGAAGCAGAGATCGATGTAGCTGCAACATTAAATCGGCGGTTTCAATATGTTGTGATAATGAAATATGTTTAGTAGGTAATATAACATTCTCTGCAAAGTTATCTTGTGAAAAATTCGTATTTTCTCCCCCTAATTCGATTGGGGGGAGGGGGGGGGGGATTGCGCGGTTGATCCGATTAATGGTTGGGCCAATATTACTCTTCGTCGAAAGGTCTTTATTGAAGTTTTTTGATTTCTTGATATGTTTAGACGGGAACCAGTGCTTTGTTCTTCGCTGCACAAGGAGGTTATGAAGAAATAGTCAGTATTCTTTTAGATCACAAGGCATCAATTGATCTAACTAGCTTCGACGGAGGAACGCCTTTGCTGGTTGCTTGTCAGTGTGATAACTATAGTGTAAGCATTTCGAACTGAAATTAAATGACTTGGATTAGCTCTTATGAGAACAATAATTTCATAGTGCAGTAATCCTAGAGTAGCGCAGAATTACATAATTTTTTGTGTTTTCAAGCAGCCAATTTTATCCTGGAAACCCTGGTAAGTTCTCAACTTTCAGAACCACTGGTTGAATTATGATCTGGGTAGAGTAGTATTAAAATATCTGTTCCTTTCTTCTGTCATATCATGCCTGTCTTCAAGCTTCTTTCTTAGACCCTTCATTTTATTCCTGCTGAATAGACAAGCCCATCTGTATGTTCTCGAAAAATCCAGCTGTTTGATTTTGTTTTCCTGTTAATAGAATTAGCTAGTGTTATTTTTGATTTAAATATTTTAGATTGTCCAAGTGCTGCTTGAGAGAGGCTGTGGAACCAATAGTCGATTGAACGATGGTGCTTCCGCTCTGTTCCTAGCTGCACAAGCGGGCAACCTGCGAATTGTCAATTTGCTGCTCTCTAAGGGCGCTGAGCTTGATGCTAAGAGAAATGTACGATTAACCTTTGACTAAATTTTTCACTAACAAACGCTTAATATTTAATATGAGTTCACGTTCCGCTATCGAGATCCTAAATGTGTTCATTCAGTTTAGGTATATCTATACTGATCAACTCCATCCTTTTAGTAAGAAGTGATATATCAGCTTTATCGAAGCACATTGATTGCTGCTTGGTACTGATGATTATTAAAATCGAAAGACTTTTTTTTCAGCTGAACAACTTGTTCAACAGAATGACTGGATCAGTTAGTGACAACAGACATTTTTCAAGCATGTCTGAATTTTAAAATACCTGATCAATTTGTAAATTGTTTTTTTTTATGTTTGTTGAAAACCAATCCGATTTTGTATGATTGAGAGTAATGAACCTAGGTCCTGTTGATTCTTTTTTCAGGAAAAGTCTCTAATAACTACAGATGTGCATTCATTAATATTGATGTATTTATGAATGCACTAAGGTATATATGCACTTTTTGAGTTCAATTGAACTTCATCTGCTGAAAGTGACCTAAATGGCACTCTCCAAATACGAACGTGGAAATTGCGCGAAAGAACGCGAACGATTTCTAGTTTCGAAAGTGGAATTTAATTTTTAGATTTCCAGCTGAGTAAAAACTTAGCTGTTGATCCAGTTTTCTCAAGTTCGGTTAATGTTATCAAAAAAGCGCCAGTAATAAATCGTTCTAGAAATTCAAAGAGCTTAAAGGGCATCTATTATTTTTTTTGAAATTTGAAAGTTAAGGTTTTTTCAACAAAGCAACATGAGGCGAGTAAATCTTTGAGCAAAAAAGAAAAACATAGCCAATTGGAAAAGAGTAATGAACCCAAGTAAACATAAACTAGCAATGACTTTGTTGAAAAAACCTTGTATACTTGGGTTCATTACTCTTTTCCAATTGGCTATGTTTTTCTTTTTTGCTCTAAGATTTAGTCGTCTCATGTTGCTTTGTTTGGAGGGTAAATATATATATATAATATATTTCTGCCTGTATAGGCTTGAGTTGTTTCTGTGTATGCTAATTCGAAATCTATAGGCTATATTGTTCCGGCTTAATGGGCGTCGACTCAAATATTGTTGGCTTAGCTTTGCTTCGTAAATTTCAGCTCAATGCTAATTTGAAGCTTACATTTGTTTCTTGCTAGTTTAAATCTTGCTTCTTGTCCCGTTTCATTCGAAATGAACTTCATGTGAGACACACATTTGAATTTTTTTTTAAAATCGAGTTCTTTGATATTTTTTCAAACATTTTTGAATTTTGTTGAACGAAGTGAATCATAATTTATTTAGGTCGCAATGATATCTCTTTCTGTGTTTTTTTTTGTGTGTCTTTTACTGTTTCTTATATAATTTTTTTTGAGGAAAATGTCCTAAATTTCACTCTCAAGTTTGATTTTTCTGTGGTTTGGCTTTGTTTTTTAAGTGCAATTCCAATCATTTGCCAAAAAGAAGACAAACTACGCTCACGCAAAACAAAGTGGCGGGAAAAATGTGAATGAATAAGTTTTGAAAGTGGGTTTCAATTTAAAGATTTCCCAGCGAATGAAAAGTACCCTTTAACCCAGTTTTCTCATACTAGGTTTCCAAAAAAGCATTAACCAAAAAAGCGTTAATCATAAAATATTCATGATTTTCCAAAAGCTTCAAGTTGATATATTTTTTTGAAAGTTGAAAGTTTTTCAAAAAAAGTCTCTTTTTTTGTAATTGAGTTCATTGATACTTTTCCAAAAATGTTTTATTTGGGCGTGTTCAATAAATTTTGCGACACCACAAATCATAAGTTTATAATGCATTCAATTTTTGGTTGCAGGATGGCGCGACCCCACTTTGGATTGCCTGTCAGATGGGACACCTGGAAATTGTGAAGAAGCTGCTTCTGGCTGGCTCCGCGCCAGATGTTACACGTCAGGTTAGTTGATATTTGATAATAGTTTAATGAAGAATCTCTTCAGATTGTACTAAAGTGTTTGTACGAAAGGGTAAATTATTCGAATACATGCGTTTGAAGAACAAACACAGTTATGTCTCCTTGTTATAGAAGTAGTTGTGTGCCAAGCAGTTGCAGCAGCATGCCATTAAGTATGACAACCCCTCCCTCAATTCTGGTTGCCAGATTTTTACACTGGCAATCAGCGTAGTGTATTATTACGAACCTTCTTTTTTTCTAAACTAACTCGCAGATAAAAGTATTCAACTAACTCGCAGATAAAAGTATTCACTTATTTGGAAATGTCACTTCAGCATAACAAATTGCATAGCATCTGTTTTCTGCTTTATTTGAAGCTCGCGTTTTTTTTTTACTAATAAGCGTTCTTGGTTAGTGTGCGAGAATCAAAATCTCTAGGTCGCAGGTTTGAAGCCGAGACGTAACGAATTTTTACTAATTCCAGGCTTAATTCTAGTTTTCTTATTGCATTTTATAGAGCTACTTTCTGTCTTGCTAGTGTTTGCTATGTGTTCCAAATAGTACTATTCTGCGTCATCCATTCTTAGCCTACCAATCTTAAATTTGTTTCAACGCGACTTGAACGCCAATGAACACTCATGAAGGTTGTAGCTACAACAGCAACACAACTACAACTTATGAGGGTCGATTCCGCCACCAAAAAAAAAGACTTTTGATCTTCATGCAAAAAAGGTTAGATTGCGCTATTTTCTGCCAAAAATTCTTTATAGCGCAATCTTATCTTTTTTGCAAGAAGATCAAAAGTCTCTATTTTGGTGGGAGACTAGACCCTCAGAAGTTGTAGTTGCGTTGCTGTTGTAGGCTGTGGCGCAAAATTTATGGCTTTGACGCGGCTAGAATGGAGAATGGCTATTCGAAAAGTTCTCTAATTTTCTCAAAAATTTCCTTCATTGATTGGAACTGAAACTATTTTATGGCGCCTGGATCAGAAAAATTGAGAATTTGAAAAGGAAGCTTTTGATTTTCAGGATGGAGCGACACCTTTGTTCAAAGCAGCCCACAAGGGCCACTTGGACATAGTGGTGGAACTACTAAACACAGGTGAAGTGTCTCTGAGTGTCCTTCCCAACGGGGAGACAGCTCTCCATGCTGCTTGTCTCTTTGGACACAAGAATGTGGTCATGGCTCTGGTCACTGCTGGGGCCAACCCAACTCAACTTAATCGGGTAAGAGCAGCCTTGTAATTTTTATTTTACGCCGACTTCACTGATTAAATTTTTAACACTGATATAGTTTTTGGAATCTCTAAACTCCCTTTATAGCAGAAGGATTTATAAAAAGTCGATGAAAGTAGCTCAGACTCTTATACAGGTCGTGATAATTTTTTTCTGGAAAAGTCTTAAAATGCTCTTATATTTTACATAAGTGCAGTCATATACATTAATGCATTGGTAAATGCTTCTAGATATCTTATATATTAAATGACAATCCGAATGTGCTATGGACGCAATGTTTAACTGAACACAATGCTTAAGAATTATTAGGAGACAAAGTGTTATATATTAAATGAAACTCCGAATGTGCTATGGACGCAATGTTTAACTGAACACAATGCTTAAGAATTATTAGGAGACAATGTTCATGAAAAGGCTATCGAGCGTAACGTTTAAGAATCATTCAGAGCAACCATGAGAAGAAAATGAACTCGATCCAATTTCAAGGCTTGACAGTACCTGCCTAATTTTTGTCCAAAATTTCATTTAATTTCTGTCTGTAACTGGGACTGTCAAAATTTCAGCCTGTAACGAATCATTTGAAAATAGCAGCCTCCACATGCTAAGAAAGAAACTTTTTGCGAACCGATTCGGTCTATGAAATAAATGAAAATAGCTTTGATTAGAATAACTTAAACTTTTCGCGAACCGATTTAGTCTATGAAAAAACTTGTAATCATTCAAAATTTCATAACTTTAAAAGGTTGCATAGAAAAACATTTTTTTCACAAAAGGGTGCCGTCTATAAAATACCTGGAAAACATTCAAAGTTTCATAGCTTTAAAAGGTTGCTTAAAAAAACTGAAACTTTTAGCAAACCGATTCGGTCCAAAAGATAACTTGAAATATTTCAAAGTTTCATAGCTTTAAAAGCATGTTTAGAAAAACTTTTAAGTTTTCGCGAATCGATTTAGTCCACGAAATAACTTGCAAGTGTTCAAAGTTTCATATATTGAAAAGCTTGCTTAGAAAACTTAAAGCTTTTCGCGATCCGATTCGGTTCAAGAAATAACTTGAAATTTTGCAAAGTATCATAGCATTAAGATCTTGCTTAGAAAAACTGAAGTTTTCGCGAACCGATTCGGTCCACAAAATAATCTAACTTATTTTGAAGTTTCATAGCTTGCTTCAAAAAAATAAAATGTGTTCGCAAACCGATTCAGTCTAGGAAATAACTTAAAATAAATCAAATTTTCGTAATTTCAAAAGCTTGCCAAGAAAAGCTTTAAATTTTCTCGCGAACCGTTTCAATCTCAAATAATTCAAAGTTTCATAGATTTGAAAGCCTGCGTAGAAAAACAAGATTTTTGCGAACCGATTCGGTCTATGAAATAATTGCAAATTTTTCAAAGTTTCATAGCTTTTAAAGCTTGCTGAGAAAAACTCAATTTTTTGCGAACCGATTCGGTCCAAGAAACAACATGAATTATTTCAAAGTTTCGTAGCTTTAAAAGCTTGCTTAGAAAAAATGAAATTTTTCTTGAACCGCTTCGATCCGTGTAATAACTTGAAATATTTCGTAGTTTCATAGTTTGATTAGTTTCATAGCTTGATAGGCTTACTTAAAGATTTTCGCGAACCGATTCAGTCTATGAATTAACTTGTAACAATTCAAAATTTCATAGCTTTGAAAGGTGGCTTAGAAAAAACTGAAACTTTTCGCGAACCGATTTAGTCCACGAAATAACTTGCAATATTTGGAAATTTCATTGCTTGATTGTCTTGCTTGAAAATCAATATCGCAAATTGATTCGGTTTTTGAAATAACTTGAAATATTCCGTGGAAAATTTTTTGCAAGCCGTTTCGGTCTACGAAAGAATTCAAATTTTGTTAGCTTGATTAGCTTGCTTAGAAAATTTTTAAGCTTTTTGCTTATTGATTCAGTTTATGGAATAACTTGAAGTATTTCAAAGTTGCATAGCTCTATTAGCTTGCCTAGAAAAACTTAAATTTTTTGCGACCCTAGTCAGTCTATGAATTAACTTCAATTTTTCGGGAACCGATTTGTTCTATGAAACCGATTTTTCAAACCGATTTACGATATAGCTTAATTTGAAATTGTTCAAAATTTCTTTGCTTGGTTAGCTTGATCAGAACAACAGCTAATTTTTTGCGAGCCAATTGATTTTTGGAGACGGGCTTGCTAGTACATGCTTATTTTGACTTCATTTCAATTTCATCTGCAAAAAGTTATGTAAATTGCGCTCTCCAATTACGAAAGTGCACAGGTCACGAAAAACGTGACTGACTTCTAGTTTCATAATTATAATTACGCTTGCGATTAGCAAACGTTATCAAATCGGAATATAAGACTTTTTTGGGTTAACAACTAGTTAAACAAAATCATTTGAATCACTCATGAGGCTGATATGCTCAATTTTACGAAAATTTAAATACCGCGTCCCAGGATACTAGTTACTACTGCATGGTAAATCTAGAACTCAAACTATTGTATGTATAATTATATTAACTTTGATATTAACTTTCTGCTGATGATTTTTTCGGCTTCATGGTTGTCGATTTAAGCTGTGTCGGTTTAGTTTTCCAATTATGCAATCTACTTTGCATATGCTACTGATACGTCTATCATGGATCCTATGTGGACGCTGCATGAATTTTTTTCCATGTTTCTTGAAAGTTATTGGCTGAGTTTCAGCTTAATGGATGTCGGTTTCAATTATGTCGGCTTATTTACCGATTTTTTTCCTTAAAAGGTAGTAATTCTGCGATTAATAAGACTCTGGTACCAATTTTGAATGCCCAAATTCAGCACCACTAGGACCTCTTTGATAAACTTTTTTAAATGGTAACTCGAATAAATGCCCTCGTTTTTTTTTTGTTTTTCTCGGTTTTCCTTTTCAATTGTAACCTTGTTCGAAGTTCTGCTTGCTATTTTTTTTACTATCATGGTGCACTTATCTGATTATTGCTGTATCGCAAGTGATGTGAAGCTCAGCTTCTTCTCTGTCTAATTATCAGATTTCTCAGCGAAATAAAATAAATACCTTCTGATCCAGTTTTCTCAAATTGGTTTGATTGTATCAAAAAAGTGTCAATCACAAATTGAAATTCAAAGAACTTTAAGGCTATCTTTTTTCTTGAAGTTTTAAAGTTGATTTTTTTTCATAAAAACAAGTAATTTTTTCTTTTCTCTTTCCTTGCGTTCATTGACTCTTTTCCAACTGTCTGTCGGCTATTTTTTCAGTAATTCTTTTTTCTCTCAAAGAGGTTCATTTAAGGCGTGTGTGTGTGTGGTAGGGGGGGGGGGGAGGGGTTAATAAATTGTTTGTCTTAAAATGATGGACTTATCACATATGGTCATAATTATCAAAGAAGAAGCATACTTTTAGGAGGGAATATCTCCGGTCGAAATTGCGAGCCAAGCTGGTTTCGAAAACATCGTCGACTACTTCTTGACTCTAAACAGCAACAACAATGACGGAAGTGGAGCCAAAACTGACTCACAAATACCAAACAGTGAAAGTCACCTCACAAACACATCTTCAAACTACGAAGTACAGTCACTGCAAAACTACAATGAAAAAATGCCAAATGACAAATCAACCAGCGAAGCACAACAACCGCAATACGAGAATTCAGATATTGTGAAGCAGTCTTTGAACGAGGAGCAAAAAGTGTGCAATGAGCCGAAACGCCAGTCAGGTGCAATTGACGGCGGATTGATTGGACAGAACTCGAAAAACAATCCTGGATATGAGAATACGGGCTCAATTTCTACTGTAGTTTAAATCGAACTAATTTGTAAAATTTTAAATTAACTAATCCAAATTTTAACCTATATTTGTATCTGCAAATCATCTCAACTTTCATCTTTTCCCTTATTTATAGTTTTTCGAATAGTGTGTTCAAATTAATGAATTTATAAAGAAGAGTGCAATAAAATTTTGAAATATCAAGTCGTTTTTAGCATGAAACGAGTGATACGTAAAACTGGCCTATTGAACAAAACCTTAGTTATAAAATGTACAAAAAAACATCAGTCGATTTTAATCAACCAAAAATTGGAAATTAATATCGAGACAAATATTAAGGGTATTGCAATCGGGTACTAGACTTTTTTCCCGTAAACATCTTTGTCCACAGATTTCAGCATGCATGCAGTACACGACATTCATGCAGTATGTGCGTCGTATGTTCGCGCTCATTGGTCTATTACTCTCACGGTGCATCCTTTTTAGTGTTACTCCAATAAATTCGCAGTTTAAATTTTTTCAACACTATTTTTTTTTTGAATTTTCGACTTAGTCGCTTTCGGTTTACTTTTTGTCGGCTTAATTTCCGCTTTTTTTACCATCCAACTAAATCGCGTGTTTAATTTTTCTTTATGCAATATAGTTGCTTTTAGTGTTCGGATTTTTCTCTGCCGTTTCTTGGTAATTTTTTAACCTTGACATCGTATATATATTTTTTCGATTAAAAACTTTATTCTGCCCAAATGATTTCGGCTTATATTCTATCGGCTAAGTGACCTAATTTCGAGTTGTTGGCAACAATATTTTCATCGCCTGTTTTTCGGCTTGATAGGTTTCGGCCTAAATTATATCGGCTCATCGGCCTCAAATTGCGTTCTTCGACGAGCGAAAAAAGTGCATGTCTGTGTTTTGAGGTCGAGGGTGGCTTAATAACTTCTTATTAGTCTAAACTTTTTTCAATTTTTTTTTCGTTTGTTTGGACTTCTTAGGTTTCGGGCTATATTATATCGGCTCAATTGTCTCATATTGTTTCAGTTGACGAGCAAATAATGTGTTTTGAGGGGACGGGGACTTTTCATAGGTTTTAAATCTTGTTGATGTTTTTCCGGCATAGTAGGTTTCTGCCAAGGTATTTGTTACCGCTTGGTAAATTATAATCCGATGCTAATTTCACCTGCTGTTGTCTCGGTATGTTTTTGTTTCATTTTCGAACTTTTTTCGAAACTAGCCTTATTCATTATCATTTTCGATTTTTTTTTTCGTGTTGTATCGCAAGTGGTGCGTAGCTCAGCTTTGCCTGTAAAAAAATCATTTAGTTTTTTCTTTAAACCTGGCCTGCTGTTAGTTTCTAGAATGTCCAACTTCGATTTCGAATTTGAAAGTCAAGATCCCTCAAAGGAGCAGGACTTCGGCACTAGATCCTTCTGGGAAAACGGAGTCGATAACGACGACGATGATGCAGGCGTCAACTTTGAAGGCACGTTCGGAGGTCTTTCCACTTTCTCTCCTGTCTCGGCTTCTAAATCGAATCAAGACTTCGAAAATCAAGATTTTGAAATGGAAGACAAACAATCTTTCCAGAATGTAGCGAAAAGTGGGAAGAAGCAAGGTTATGATTCGGACAGCGATATTGACGCTGATTTTGCAGGAGGTTGGGACAACGCGAAAAATGAAGCGCCCTTTTCGGATTATGAAACGACGAACAAGTTTGAGTATTCGACTAAGCGTGGTGATGATATGGAAAGCTTCGATGGTTTTGATCAAAGTGAACCAAATGATGAGAGGTTTGGCTCCGAATTTGATAAAGTTAGTCGAAAAACTGGCAAGCGACGAATGGACAGTGGAAATATGTCGAACGTTAAATCTGAGTTTGGATCCTGGAAAGATGCGGTTGAAATTGATCAGCGACCAGTAAACGACCGCGAGTGAGTTATTCTTTGTTGAAATTCCGTCGCTGAGATCTTCTAGATCATGGAAGGAACCTTTTGAAAAGATTTTCTAAAGACCCCGCATTTTCTCATTACACAATTTCCTAGCATAGTTGGGTATGCTTCTGAGCAGCACGTGAAAATTCGATATTTGATCAAATCGAGTCACAAACACATAACAGTTTCTTCAAAAGGTTTCGGCCTTATTGATCGCCGGCCTGCATTTTGTGAATTTGATACCACCGTGTCTTGTGTGTAATGTGGGTTGTTTTAGAGCACTAATCTACTGTTGTCTTTGTCATTACTTTTGTTTTTGCTTGTAATTAGCAAGACTTAAAAACCTGAACATATATTTTTTCCTGTAACTGTCTTGTAAATATTTTTTCCCGCAACTGTCTTGTCAAACAAAATCTTAATCATTTGATAGCGTGATATATTGTCATTCAAATTCAACTGTGAGTATGAGCAACTAACATCCATGCTGTGAACGGCAAAGGTCAGCTTCGATAACGGCCAGGCCAAATTGAAAGTTTTTAAATGTCATTGAACGCAGTGAAGTCACTTAGATATATCGTCTGATTTTTTTTGTTTGGTTGTCTGTTTATTTTTGTTTGGTTTTTTCGTAGAGTTGTACCGGATAGCGGTATCCGGAATCGATATCCGGTTATCCGTCAAAATTCTGATTCAGGCACGGATATCCGATAAAGTTGCACCGGATACTGACTTCTGCGTTTTTTGACGAAAAAACATTACCAAAAAGACTGAATTCAAAATTAGTTTATAACTTGATTCAATCAAAGTTTAGAAGACTACCATGTAAAAGTACCAGTTTTTTACATAAATCTGGCTTCAGACGGTTTCTTTGTTCTGTAAGTATATTCCTTTGAGTACTGAAAACTCTCTCACTTGAGACACTAAACGCTGGAGCACAAAGAAAATTTTTCGAAACTCATTGGAGAATAGGATACTTATTATGATGTTTCTACCGCGCAATTGGATTTTTCAACTCCATCAGTTCTCTTAAACTTTTTAAATAGTTTTCCAACTCTTTGTCAAATCCAGTAACTTCTTGGTCAGCTTCTTCGTTTTCTGGTGAGTTTTCTTGCCAAAATGAAGTTGTTTTTAGCCAATGGTTATGATGAATTTTCTTTTATTTGCGCAGCATCGTTCTTTGGATTCGCTCAGGTACTGTGTGTTCAAAAGTTTGCATGTGAAACGAGGATCTAGCAATGTTGCCGCGCAATGAAAGATTTTGCACGTGTAAGGGTTAAATCGACAGTCTAATGCTTCTCTTAGAGTATCCTTGAATAACTGAACTCAAGGATCATTCACACTTTTATCATTCATTTCCATCATAAATTTTCGTAGCTTATGGTAACCTGGAATAATCAATGAAGTACTAGTTTTCTGCTGACAAGTCTCGTAAATTGTTCAACTGTGGTCCCATAATAACAATAGTTTTCTGTAGAAGAATCCGGCTTTGCGTAGGGATTTGAACTTCGACTTCGTCAGTGTGCATTGGTAGAGCCGCACGATTCTCGTTGAGATTGCGTAGCAGCAGCAAATTAGAATTCCATCTTGTAGGGATATCCTGCACCAGACGTTTTTCAGCTGTCTTTATGTTTCTTCAGTTTCTGTGTAGCTAGCGCAGAGTGATCAAAGTGACCCTCCAGTTTTCTTTCCATTTTTATAATGTCATTTATCCCCCTTTGACTGCAAACTCTGTCTGTGACCGCCAATTGTAGAGTTTGAATAGCCCAACTTCCCCATGGAAGCTGGAGGGAGTCATTCACCGCTTTCTTCATATTTGCTGCATTGTCGGTTACGATCATGCACACATTCTCGCGTGCTATGTCGCATTTTATAATCGTTTTCCGTATCTGATACCGATACTCTCAGCTGAGTGGTTGCCAGGAAAATGTTTGGTTTGCAGTATGTACTGTTTGCGCTCGAACCCAACAGTAGTTAAATGGGACGTCAAGCTAATAAAATACTAAAAGATTTGGTTTATATCAGACGTCCAGACATCTGTTGTGAATGCTATTGCCCTTTGGCCCTGATCTCTGATTAATTATCCAATTTTTTGACAATTTCATTGTGATTTTTTCATTTCTAAATTTTTGACAATTTCACAAGTTTTCACAATTTCATTGTGAACTGCAGGAATAATTCGTTCCGTGAAAAACTTTGTGAAGGAATAGCATAGCGTGGTTGTAAACCTTTCATCAACGCTTTGAAACCGTAATCCTGTACCATAGAGAACGGCTAAATGTCGATAGCGATCTTTTGTCCTATCAATCTGTGAAATTCGACAGCTTTTTGATGATCTATATGTCATTTTGTTTCGAAAGAGTTAGTTTGAGGTAGTTGCTTTCCGCAAGAGTTAGTTGCTTACTTGTACTTGATCCACAAGCTGTCGATTTTATTAAGACTGCAGTAATTCACCCAATTTTTGCTTATTTTTTGGTCGATTGTGATTATTGAGAGGCGTAGTTGAATAGTTTGCATTGCCGGGAAACATCAAGAGAGGTAACAAACCTGAAGACATGTGGCATGATGAGATAATTCCGTGTCTACCGAGAAAAGGCTCCACACAACACGCCGTCTCTTGTCAGCCATCGAAATCTGAAATGAAAAAACAATTACACAATTTTGCACATTAATTTGAGCGTAAACAGTACATATAAAAAAGTTTGCCAATGTCAATGGCAGTCATGATAAATTTAAATCAGTTTCTGAATGAACCCTAAATTTTGAAAAATTTATCTGAATCGAGTTCGAAAAACTCTGGATGCCAAAAACTAGACAGTAAAAGACTGAAACGCGCGCGAATAACCACTTTTGTTTGATTCATACAGGGCGCGCAGTAAGACGTTCGCAGCTCTATTTTAACTCTATCGCATTGACTTCTTATATTTTTTTAAATTTGAATTAGTTTGCAAGAAAGAAGTAAAATTAGCCAATCCAATAAGGAAAGTGCAAATGGGGCTGAAAAAACCGAAGTGACTTTGGTTGAAATTAATTTTTATAGTTAGATCTCCAAGCGCAATAAGAAAAACCACCAGTACTAGTTGCCTTAGTACTATTTTCTTTCACTTTTAAACCATTTTTGACTAAAATATTCAAAAAAATTGATATATTCCTGAAAAACTGCATGTAGCTCCAAGGGTATTTTGTATTTTCTGTTTGTAATCTACGATTTTGCAATTGGTAGCTTTCGAATTTTGCTTTTAACTATCGAATTTTTCACAGTTCAAGAAGAAAAAAAACTGATTTTTATGTCAAGTTTTCAGAAAGTATGATTTCTCATCAGAAAGATAAGGAGAACAAAAATGGTATTTTGTTTCCACAAACTCTTCTTAAGCCAAATGACTCCATTACCTGTGACCTCGGCGTTTTTTCCATACTCAATGTTTTAAGTCTGAACTATGGATTTATTGATATCTGTCTGTCAATAATGTCAGTTTCAGAGCTTTAATTTTCAACGTTGTTGACTGAGTCAAATCAAAAGAAAATCACATCCAAGGCTGAAGTCAATAAAATTTGCAGCGCAAAATTTGAAATCACTTAGGTTATTGCGGGAGAATGTCATGAACATCTTTTTTCTCGGGAAGTCTAAAGTCTCCAATACTAAAGACGAGGAGTAGCTCTGTCTTGCCTATGAGTTCAATTGAATTTATTTTTTTTAGTTACAAGTTTTTTTTTCACCGCTGATCTCGGCAGCGTTCCTAGTACTGTGGTTAGCTTTCACGATTGTGCTATGCCATCGGAGCAGGTTGAAACTTTCGCTCGACCTCAAGGCCAGATGTTTTGTGATGTAAAATCTTCAAGTATCCACAGGAGTTCATCCTTTTGAGTGGTTCCTCGTATTGCGTCCATTTGGTACTTTTCTTCCGATTATTGTTAGCGCGAACTTTCAATTAGTCTCCTCCAGAGCTGTCAGTTGCTCACTTCCATGACTTACTGGAGGATTAATAAGTAGGTACTTTGTAGAAAGCTGTTGCTAGAAATAAGCGAAAGAACGATTGATTAGAAGTGTTGTGGAACCTGATCTAAACTATATTTTATGATTGGATAAATTAAATGTTTTACCAATGTAAAGTATTTAATATTAACCAATCATGATCCATCTAACTAACAACCCACTTATTTGTAAGTGCTGAAGTTACTTGTAATTTCAGCACCAGAGAGATTTGAATTTAACTTAGAAATTAGTTGGACTCTCCCGAGCACTTCAGCAGCCGCAATAAACCAGTATACCCTAGATCTATTGAGCCTAGCAGAGACTAGTTAAACAACCTGAGACTAGATAGTATAAGAGTAAGATTAGGATCGGTATTAGACTAAGAAGTTGCACGAATCTATCCGGCCGAAAATAAGATAGCGTGACGAGCAGACGGTGTACCCTATCCGAAATTACTCTATGAGTTAAACCTCGGTCCTAACTCATCTGGTGCGACCATAAGTCTCGAACAAGACCTTATTAGATTAGAATTAACCAAAATTAGATTAGAAATTAGACAAAAACATTTACAAAATGTTATACGACAATAATTTAATTGAAATGTCTCTCCGACTCAATAGATCCGAGCCAATATTCCGAACCATAATAGAACTACCCGGAATTGGAAGAAGACATCGAACCAAAGACGACATACGACAAAGTAGAAACTTGCCGTATAGTTACATGATAGTTCGGCAAAAGCCAGAACAAACTTTTATATTTCGAATACTACTTGCAATGAATTTAGATTTCCATTTGCAAACATAAAACCTTGAAGAAAATCTTCAAAATCATTTCAGGCGCTAAACAAAATTAATATTATACAATAACGATTGATAAAAAGATCTAAGATCGTTTTCCTAAAATTCTGCAGTATTCTACAAAACATGTTTGAAAAATATTTATTGGAAAATAAAGATAAAAATTAGTAGCATGACAATAAATGGTTAGTAATCATAAATCATCCTGTTGTCCCAGCTTCATCACCTAAAAC